TGTGGAAAGGGAGAAGACTAACAACACTAGGTGAATTAATACTACATATTTATTTTGGAGATTCACATAAAAACTCTTGAAAATTTGGTAACCAAAATAGAAAAATCAGCTATCTGAAAGACTGCCTTTTAGATGACAATCAGCCAGAATATGTGTGTAGGTGATACATGGAATGCCAAAACATTTATCAGCTGATTAAGAACAGATAAACCAGTAAATTTGTGTGTGGTTATTTGGTGGATATGGCAGTATACATCTCAGGCTTTAGGAGATTTTACTTCATTGATGAATTTTGCCTTAAGGTGTGCTCAGGAGTTAACTGGATGGATTGTGTTTCCAATTGAAATGTAATTTGCATACCATAAAATTTACCTTTGAAACTCCATGATTCAGTGATTTTTATTGTATTTACAAGCTTACTGCAGCCATTACCATTGTCCAATTCCAGGATATTTTCATTACTCCAGAAAGAAAGTGAAAGTTGCTAGTAGTCACAAGCCCTCATGTCTAATCTACTTTTTGTCCCTCTAGATTTGTCTGTGGTGGAAATTTCATATAATGTAATCATATACTATGTGCCATTTTGTGTCCAGTTTCTTTCATTGAACATGTCTTCAAGATCTGTCCAAGTTGTAACAGGCATTAATATGTCATTATGTCTTACGGCTAAATGAGTTTCCACTGAAACTGATATATATAATTTATGTATCTGTTTATAGTTGATGGACATTCAGCTTGTTTTTGTTGTTTAGCTATTATGAAAAATGATTGTGTGACCATTCAACTGAAAGTTTTTGTATTAAGATGTTTTCATTTCTCATGCATGTGTTCCTAAGAGTAGAATTACTGGCTCATCTGTTAACTTTATGTTTCTGAAGAATTGTCAACTGATGTATTTACAGAGCTGCTGTATCATTTTATCTTTTCACTAGTAAAGTATAAAGTTTCCAATTTCTCCACATCTTCACCACCACTTATTTTCCCTTAAAAAAATAATCGTCTCTTTGGGTGTGTGGTAGTATTTCATTATGGTTTGATCTTCAGTGACTGTGACTAATGGTGTTGAGTATCATTAGCAACAAGCATGTGTACTTTGGCTGTTTGAACAACTTTGGAGAAATGTCTTTTCAAATCCTTTGCTTGTCTTACCTTTTTTTTATTGTTGAGTCCTAAAGAGTTTATTATTTTGGAGAATCAACCCATATCAGATACATGATTTACAGATATTTCTTACATTCTTTGGGTAGTTTTTCACTTTTTAGATAGTGTTCTTTGATATCACAAAAATTTTAATTTTGATTTAGTCCTTGTGTTTTTCCTGGGTTGCTTATGCTTTTGGTGTCATCAGAGAAACCATTGCTTAATGAAGATCACAAAGGTTTTTTCCTATGTGTTTGATGTGAAGCAAGGAGATAGAGGAACCAGTCAGAACCAGTACAGGTCCTGAATAGTTAACTTACACTAGAAATCAGAGCTTACGTGAGTTAACATACCAAAGGGCCCAAATAATTAACTTAAGCAAACTGGGGAGGTCTTTTTTTTTTTAATTCTTTCCAATAAACACGTATTTGGCCACTGCTTGCTGCTTGCTGTTTTGTAGACTTCAGTGTTTTTGCCCCAAAACCGAACCCAAGAGCTAGAGGGAGCTGGTTCCATTTTTAATTTAGGTCTTGATCCATTCCAAGTTAGTTTTTATATGTGGGGTGAGGTAGGGGTCCAACTCCAGTACTTTATATGAAGGTATTTAGGGTGTCCTACCATATCTTGGCAAACTTGCTGATATAGACAAATGTCTTATCAGTGTTTTGATTACAATGTCTTTGTAGTGTGCTGTTGGAAACTGTATCTGCTAGCATTGTTGCTTTTTTTTTTTGGTTTTTTCTCCGGTACCGGGAACCGAGCTCACGACCTTGCGCTTGCCAGGCAGGCGCTTTTGCCGCTGAGCTAAATCCCCAGCCCCTCATTGTTGCTTTTTAAGATGGCTTTGGCTTAATGGGATCCTTTGTAATTCCATATGACTTTTGAGATCAGCACATCCATTTTTATAAAATAGGCAATTGGAATTTTGATCCTGATTATGTTGAATCTGTACATTAGGATAAGTATCATTGCCATTTTGACAATATGCAATCTTCCAACAGATAAACATGTGTTTCAGCATATGGTTGAGTATATATTATTCATTGTTTTTCATAGAATTGGTTGCCATTCTACATACTGTGTTCATTCATTCACTAATTACCTTCATTCCTTCCTTTGTTATACTAAACTATAAGCACTATTTGAAGGCATGGATTTTGGTTTGTTTTGATTACTTCTGTATCCTTAGTATCTGGAAAATTGCCTGACAGCAGGAGCTCAAATTCAAATATATATTGAGTGAATGAACTTTGTGAGTTCTAGAGTAATTAGTTTATTTATAGTTTTGTCTTTAAGAATATGTCCCTAGTGTTGGGAGTGTAGCTTAGTTATAGAGCATAGAGCATGTACTCACATTTCTTGAAGTCTTGGATTCAGTTCCCAACATTTAAAAAAAAAAAAAAAAAAACACCTTGATTTTTTTAGTATTTTCTATGTACTTGAATCTCCATAGAAATCTTGCACAGTATTTCTCACATGTGGTATATTTTTCATACCTCTTAGGCTTTTAGTCCCCACAATTTCTTGACTGAACTGATAAAACATGCTAATTATTTTCTGTATCTATGTGCAAGTTCCTTTAAATTTCCCCTCAGTAGCTGGCTTACCTTCTCTGTTGCTGGGACAAAATATCCAACACCTGCAATTTAATTAAAGGAGAGGCTTATTTTAACTCAGCTTGTAGAGATTTCTGTCTATAGTCATCTGGCTCCAAGGTAGGGCAGCATAGTAGGGGGCACGGCAGAGGAGAAGGGGCTCATGGCATGGGAGCCAGAAGCAGAGAACAGGGGAGGAGGGAGAGAGATATATTCTTTCAAGGCCATGCTCCCAGTGACCTACCTCCTCTGACCAGACTTCACCCCCAAACATCACATTTAGCTATAAACTCATCAGTGGGCTAATCCACTGATGAGTAGCACACCCCCATCACCCAGTTGTCTCCCAAAACATCCACCTATGAGCACATGAGGTTATAGGGGGACATCTAGATATAAAGCATAACAGTAGCCATCAACATTGCCTAAATAAAATGACTAGCCCTTCTGTGGTTTAAAATACCTACTATTTCCCATCTGTCTAGAATCAAGTCTGCCCATAGGAGGCTTATAAACCCATGTATAACTTGACTTCAGCTACATAATGCGGAGCTCTCTTAACATCTCATAAAATAAAATAGGTCTATTCATTTTTCTTTGTATAATTAGTGCCTACCACAGAATAGAGAACTTAGTAAATTTTTTTTGAGTAAGTGAATGCATATAAGTGTGTATAAAAGAATGGTGACAGTGAGGAATTTCATTGAAAATGCTTGCAATTTGATAACAAATAATAAAAACATCTAATTTAATGCTATCATTTAAGAACATTTTTTTCTATTATACAACTGATTTGTCTTTCTCATGATTTAGCTGATATATTCTCTGTTCTCCTGTTACCAGATGAGGTCTAAGAAGGTCTTCTAAGTGGGAGATAGGGACCTCAGTTTAGCCTGGTGAATAGGGACTTATGTCATAGAAAAAGAATTTCAGGACTTTCTGTGCTTATAAAGCATAGAAAGGGTTATAAACATAGGTAAAAGTTAGGGAGAATAGGAAAAAGACAACAGCTAGAGTAGGAGGCCTACTCTAATGCAGGGGCTCAGACTGGTCCTCTTACAAAGCATGAGGCCAGTTTTTAAGAATTAGGTGAGTTGGATGGGGATCTGGTTGGTCAGTTTTAGTTTCCATAGCTCCAGAGCAATCCTTGTGGCTTGAGGAGCAATTTGGTTCACTTGAGATGGTGGTTCTTGCTTTGTTAGGAAGACTCTGCCTCAGTTAATCATGAGGTATTTGATTCTGCTTGAGGGGAAGTGAGCTCATCCTGGGGTTGTCTAGGAGGCTCTACTTTCCCTGTAACTCAGCTGATTACATTTTAAAGACTTCTAGGCATTGCTCCAGACGGGTTCTGGAGCTGGATGTTGTGAAAGCTAGCAATTGAGTATCCTTGGAAACCGTGAAACTTACTTTAGTTACTCTTAGCTAGGTGTCCTCAGTTTGGAAGGGAAATGAGATAGACAAGGTAAAATTAAGTCTGAGAAGCCTCATAATATTATGAACATGGTCTGACTGATTAGAATGTCTTGTGCAGAGTTGAGCAGAAAACTGACCCACAGTTTTACACTTGATCTTAGCCGAAAGACCGAGAAGTGACAACCCACAGTTTTAAAGTAATAAGAAAGACCGCAAATAAATAAATACATAAATAAATAAAAAATCAAGTTTTCTCATTTCGTTTCTACCCATCTTTATTTCTTCAGTCCCACATCACTTCCTCAGTTATTTGTGAAGGAATTGCTCTTCGGCATTTACATTGTCATTTTAGAAGTAAAAGCACTTTGTGGTTTAGGTCTGTAGTCCCTTTCTGTATTTCTGTGTCTATATTGGGTCTGTTCTTTTAGCTGTTTTCCTTCTTTCATTAGGGATCTGGATTTATGTGTGTATGTCCATATCAAAGTGTATGCCTTTTGTCTGTTATAGCTATGAATTCTGGCCTTAACGGTTTTATATATAATTGTGAAACTCTTAGGATTATTTCCACAGAACACTCTCTCTCTCTCACAAACACACATACTCTCACATAGTCACACACATAGACAAACTTGTGTTGACAGTTAATGTAAAATGCATAAGAGAATGACTTAAGATGATTTTTAGGGCCAGAGGTATAGCTCAGTGGCACAAGTGCCTGCTTGGCAAGCACAAGGTCCTGAGTTTGATTCCCGGTACAAAAAAAACAAAAAACAAAAAACAAAAAAAAGATTTTTATTGGCCTATTTTCATTTTGCTAATATCTTCTTTTTTTAATCATATGTACGTGCTCAGATTGAAAATCTTCAAGAGCAACTAAGAGATAAGGAAAAGCAGATGAGCAGCTTGAAAGAACGAGTCAAATCCCTGCAGGCTGATACCACCAACACTGACACTGCTCTGACAACTCTGGAGGAGGCCCTTGCTGAAAAAGTGAGTAATTGGACTGGGCTCTGCCCAGATGCTTTGCTTCTACTCTCTCATTAGCCTAAAATTGTACATACAATGCAGAAGCAATCCCTTTGGATAAGAGGGAAAAAGCTCTTCTGTGCTATTGCTGACATACACAATGTGAAGAGAAAAGTCCATTTAATGGTTGCCAATTTAAGCACATGATGTTAGGCAAGATGGATTCCACACCAGAAGGCAGTGTCTGAATATTCTAAAAAATCAGCTATATGTTTTTTATTTGCTGTTTTCTGATGAAAAAGAAAATACGTTTTGGTCAACTAGAATGTGGGGATGTAAGAATAGTAAATGGAGACTATCAAGGGGCAATATATTGTTAGTTCTCCCTTACCATACAGAGTATTTAACTTTAGTGCTTAATATAATCATGGATTTTATCCACTAATATAATTTGCTTGCTAATTTTCTACATATTTTGCCTTTATAAGCAAACCTGGTTCTTCAGAGTAGTTGACTGAAGAAGTGGCCTAAACTGACCAGTGTTAATTCTTTAGAGGGTGGTGTAGAGAATCTTCTTAAGCATTTTTACTGGATTTTGTTTATTGAAGGAATAGGGTCTGTTTGCCATAATTCTCTTTGCCTCAGAATGCTTTCAGCTGCCTACCAAGGTCAAGGCTTGTTCCCTGAATATATTTAAAAATAGTACCCAAAACATACTTGAGTTGTTTCAGCTTTTAAACTTCCTGAATATTTGTTGACAGAAAGCAATTTTAATGATTTTTCTTTACTACTATTTTTTTATACTTTCAGCGCAACATATCAAATCTTCTCCCCATCTTTTTTTTGGGGGGTGATTTGTGAGTTGTTTCTGTTGTCTTAAAGGCAATGTGTGAATTATAAAAAAGAAATATTTGTTTCTTACTATCATATATATATATATATATATATATATATATATTCCCTTTTCTCTTCCTCCTTTTCTGCCTTCCCCTATCCCAGTTTCTCTTTTCTTTTCAAAGTTTCTTCCCATTTCCTACTACCTATTGTACATTTTGGATCTTATTTATTCTTTCAGTTTCTTATACTAAGGAGACAATGCAATGTTTACACATGTAAGTCTGGTTTATTTCACTTATAAGTATAGCTGCTAGTTGTACGTAGCTTAACTTTAAAATGTTATTGCTTTTTTAAAATATCACACAACTTTAAATAAATCACACAACTTTAAAACTTCCCTTATACAAGACATCCAAAGTATAAATAAATGAAAGAGCAAAATGAAAGACATAGTAGGAAACAGGGAGATAGGTTTCTGCACATGAGAAGAGGACCAAGGGCTGGGGGGGGGGTATGAAAATAAGTAAGATGTGTCATTGTACGCACCAACTCCCCATAGTGAATGTCATTATGTATCACAAACACTGATAAAAAAAATTTTTAAAGAAATATAGGAAAATAATAATCATCTTCGCATTCATCAAATCCCAATCTTTGGTGAAGGGTCTTACTTTGGTGGGGGGATCTTACTTTGATCTTGAGGTCTGCTCACGGATCAGCGTGGTGGGTGCTGAAGGTGAAGGTGGTCGCAGCAATGTCTTAACATTAACAGTGAAGTTTGCCACATCAGTGGACTCTCGCATTCACAGAAGATTTCTCTGCAGTGTATGAATGTGTCTGACATCATTCTGCCCACAGTAGAATTGAAAAGTTGGACTCAGCGCTCCCCAGCCCTGCTGCTGCTTTATCAACTAAGTTTATTTAATATCCTAACTCTTTGCTATATCTTCAACAATGTTCACAGCATCCTTGTCAGAAACAGATCCCATCTCAAGAAACTATTTCTTTTGCTCCTCCACTAGAAGCAACCCCTCACACATTAAAATTTTATCATGAGATTGCAGAATTCGATAACATCTTCAGGCCCCATCTCTAACTCTAGTTTTCTTGCTATTTGCACCATATCTGTGTTACTTCTTCCCCTAAGGCCCTGATCCCCTTGAAGCAATCCATGAAGATGGGAATCAACTTCCTCCAAATCCCTGTTAATGATGATATCTTGACTTTCTCCCCTGAATCACAGATGCTCTTTAATGACATCTATGATGGTGAATCCTTTGAGAAGGTTCTCTTCACTCAAATCCATCAGAGGAATTACTATCTATGCTATAGTCTTATGAAATGTACTTATTAAATAATACTGCATCCAGGCGTGGTGGTACACACCCATGATCCCAGGATTAAGAAGGCTGAGGTAGGAGGATCACTCTGAGTTTGAGGCCAGTCTGGGCCACATAATGAGTTCAAGACCAGCTTGTACTGCATAGAGAGACCTTACCCCCGCTACAAAAGAGGAAAAAAAGAAAAACATTGCAAAGTTAAAATCACTCTTTGATCCATGGGTTTGAAAATGGATGTTGTGCTAGGAGATGTGAAAACAACATTAATCTTGTACACTTTCATCAGACTTCTTGGGTGACCAGCCTCATTGTCAATGAGCAGTAACACTTGAAAGGAATCTTTCTTTCTAAACAGTAGATCTCATTAGTGGGCACAAAATATTCAGTGAATCGTGGTACACAAGCATGCTGTCATCCAGCCTTTATTGGTCCAGTCATAGATCTAACACTGGCAGAGCAGATTTAGTAAAATTCTTAGGGGCCCTAGTATTTTCAGTGTCAAATGAGTATGAGTTTCAACTTAAATCACCAGCTACTTTAGCCCCTAACAAAAGAGTCAGCCAGTTCTTTGAGACCTTGAAACCAAGCACTGACTTTTCTCAAGCTATGGATGTCCCAGAATGCAGCTTCTTTCTGACGAGATTGGGCGTGTTTGGGGCGGTATGACCATACAGAGCATCTTCTTTCCATTTAAGGTTACTTCATCCACACTGAAAGTCTGCATGGCTACCTTCACCAATGACTTCAGCTCAGTCATCTGGGTAACTTCCTATAGCTTCTACATCAGCACCGCTTCAGCTCTCATGCTATGTTATGGAGACTACATCTTTGCCGAGCCTTTTGATCCAACCTCTACCATCTTCACACTTTTCCTCTGGACCTTCTCTGCCCTTCAGGCTTCATAGAAGTGAAGAGTCAGGTTCTTGTTCTGGATTGGACTTCAACTCATTTGATCTTTGAGCCAGACCACTAAGGCTTCCTCCATATCAGCAGGAAAGGTGGTGTCACATTCTCATCATCTGTATGTTCACAGGAACATCATTTTTTTATGTTCTTCAAGAAATTTTCCTTCTGGTCAGCATTTGGCTACCTGATTGGCACAAGAGGCCCAGCTTCCAGCCTGTCTTGACTTTTAACATATGTCTTGGGAAATAAGGAGGCCCAGCGAAGGAGAGAGTTGACAAATGATTGGCCAGTGGAGAGACGAGAACACACGACATTTATCAATTGAGTTTTCTGTCTTATATGGGCATCATCCCCAGCACCCCACAATTACAGCAACAACACCAAAAAGCCCTGGCCACAGGTCACCACGACAGATGTAATGACAAGAAAACATTTGAGATATTCTGAGAACTGACAAAATGTGACGCACAAAATGTGACAAAATATGCTGAGAACTGACAAAATGAATTGAGGAAAACATCACATAAATACATAGAATATTTGTCAATTTAAAAATAAATAAAGGGGCTGGGGATTTAGCTCAGCGGCAAAAGCGCCTGCCTGGCAAGCGCAAGGTCGTGAGTTCGGTTCCTGGTACC